TTGAGCAAAGCTTACAGTAGTCAAGATCCGTGTACACTGTCAAACTACCACAACTTCGTCACTACCCATACTTGCGTCAACTTTGAAGTCGACTTCGAGAAGGAGAGGCTGCATGGCAACGTAACGTTGAGTTTGAACTCTATCACAGACGCAGAGGTCGACTTCATTGCGCTAGATACGAGGCAAGTATTTGTTGCATGCTTTTTGGCTTCGTGACCGTTTCTATCAAGAGCTCCCCTCCGGCCTGTGATTCCATGCCGGTTTCATGAAAAACGCAATAAAACTTCTCTTAGGCTGGATAGTTGATGACAAGCAGCCAGCCGTTTGTGTTGAGAACACCATTGAAACATGATACCTTGCCTCGGTTTAGCTGCTTTACTCCCGCGTCATAGTGGACAGCCCTTCGAGATCAGCCTGCATTGACTTCAATCATGTTCACAGGTTCGCATGGTTCTTTCCTTACTGATTGTGCTGCCAGCCATTTGAACATCAAAGATGTCAAGCTCGACGGCAGAGCTTCCTCATGGAAGGTCGCACCCAGACTCGAACCATATGGTAGTGCATTGACTATAAAGCTCGAACGACGCGTGGAGAAAGGCAAGCGGATACAGCTCGACGTACGTCGTGACACATGACCTACGGCCACAGTCAGGAGATATTGCGACCCAGTGGCTGACGCAGCCATGGAAACTCAGATAGATCTGTCCACCACGAAAGACTGCACAGCCCTTCAATGGCTCAATCCAGCCCAAACGTCGAACCGGAAACACCCCTACATGTGTAAGCTCCGTCAAGACCGAGTTCAGCTGTACAGTACTCATCATGCCTGTGCTTTGAAGTCTCTCAATGTCAAGCTATTCACGCTCGCTCTCTCTTCCCCTGTCAAGATACGCCAGATGTGAAGTCAACATACGATTTCGCTATCCGTTCACCACTGCCGGTACTATGTAGTGGGCTGCCTACAGGCTCTCACGACTTCCTTCACGGCAAAGATGGCGCTCCGGGAACTCTTCTCTACACATTCAAGCAAGACGTCCCCATTCCCTCATACCTGTTTGCTATTGCTAGCGGCGACCTGGCCAGCGCCTCTATCGGACCCAGAAGTACCGTGTGGACTGGTCCTGAGGAACTGCAGGCTGCGAAGTGGGAGCTTGAAGAATCCACTGAAACCTTCATCCAGGCCGCCGAGATGATTGTGTACCCTTACGCTTGGACAACATACAATGTCTTAGTTCTGCCGCCAAGCTTTCCTTATGGTGGGATGGAGAATCCTGTCTTCACATTTGCGACACCGACGATTATTAGTGGCGACCGCGAAAACGTGGATGTCATCGCGCATGAGCTCGCGCATTCCTGGAGCGGGAACTTGGTCACCAATTGCAGCTGGCAAGATTTCTGGCGTACGTGCTGAACCAAACATCAAGACACAACTCTATTGACTGACCAAACATGCTCAGTCAATGAAGGTTGGACAGTTTACATAGAGAGGAGGATCATGGCAGAGGTGCACGGTGAACCGCATAGATCATTCAGCGCCCTCATTGGATGGAAGGCACTGCAGGACAGCATAGAGCGATTCGGCGAGGACCACGAATTCACCAAACTGGTGGTCGACCTCAAGGGCAAAGACCCGGACGACGCGTTCTCGAGCATCCCATACGAGAAGGGCTTCGTCTTTCTCTATCACTTGGAGAAGCTGATCGGCAAGTCCGATTGGGACCCGTTCATTCCGCACGCAAGTCTACCCTGTCAGACGAAATACAGCATAGCTACCATCAGTTGTCATCGACTGACTAACGCGTGTTCCAGTACTTCAAAACCTTTGCCAAAAAATCCGTCGATTCTTACGAGTTCAAATCCATCCTTCTCGACTTCTTCGCCTCCAACCCCAGCGCCTCGAGAAAGCTCGCAGATCTCGATTTCGAATCATGGTTTTACAAGCCGGGCTATCCGCCGAAGCCGGATTTTGACACCAGCATGGTCGACGTCTGCTACGCCCTCGCCGACAAGTGGAAGCAGCTCACGACTAGAAGCAACAGCGCGGAGGCGAAGTTTACGCCGCACAAAGCCGACATCGCAGCCTGGTCCGCAAATCAGTGCGTCGTCTTCCTCGAGCGCGTTCAGACCTTCCCCACGCCGCTGGCAGACACGGCGGTCAGGACCATGGGCGAGGTGTACGGCTTCGCGAGCAGTCGCAACGTCGAGCTTGTCGCCAGGTACTTTGGAATCGGGCTGAAAGCGCACTGTAAGGACGTTTATCAGCCGACGGCGGAGCTGCTGGGGAGGGTGGGCAGGATGAAGTTTGTGAGACCGCTTTATAGGGCGCTTAACGAGGTGGATCGGAAGTTGGCGGTGCGGACGTTCGAGAAGAACAGGGCGTTCTACCATCCGATTTGTAGGGGGATGGTGGAGAAGGATCTGTTCGGTAGCGGGAAGGAGTAGTGGGCGGTAGGAGGGACAGAGCAGGTTGTGGGAAGATCGTGCTAAGTAGAAGGAGATGAAGAGAGACGGCTAGCGTTGCATGCAGAGACGTATCCTGCTTCACTCGCTAGAAACCCCTTCATGTCCTCCTCATATACCTGGGCTTACCATTGCGTCTCTCGCAACATCCCGTACTCATCGTCACAACCACCGCTGACAGGGGCCAGCCAAGGCTTAACCCGCATACTCACGCCCCTAACACTGCCCTGCCCTAACACGATCCCGACCATCTCGATGCGTACACAAGCTATACGTCGCTCTTCTATCGCGCCGCCTTGCCACACGGCACCGTCACTTTCACTACACTCGACCGCCATTCCGTGCGCGTGTCTCGGGAGTCTTGAGCGTTGCAACACGGGAGAGCGCATTGCGAGCATCTGAATCCTCTCTGCTCTCAAAATGTCGAGGCTGACGATAAGATTGGCAGTGAGTATAGAGACGTAACTCCTGCACGGCAGCGCAGGTCTTCCTGTGCCACAGCTGCGCTACTACATCAAGATCTTGTGTGTACGCAGCAGCGAAACCTCCTCACTCACGTCCAGGCATTCCAGATCAAGAAGAAAAGATGGTCGAGAATGGGACGCACGCAAGCAGAAGAACGTGTACTGGGTTGGGAATACGCGGGGGAGGGAAAGGGCCGACCGTATGTCTTCCAGATATACACAGCACGCGGCTGTATGTAGCTTAGATTTTCAGTAAGAGATTCCACGGAGAAGTGGCGCAGATCGCAGTTCCGGGAACTCGGGACGGCATTGCAGTCTGGGGAAGAGGGGCCAAAGAGCGAAGCAAACATGAAGAACACAGACTACGACGGCCGGTGATAGGAGGGCCTGTACAACTGTGCCCTGTAAGAACAAACATGTGCGAGGCCGCGGTCGAGCAGTTCGTGCGTCTTGGGTTTACCTTGCTGTCACCGTATCGTATAGGAGATTTTCATACCGATGCTGTTTTGCATCTATCTAGCACTGTGTTGAGCATAAGTCGGTAGTCGCTACCACCATGATGATAGCTACTCAAGGCGCTCAGCAGCATGCTGCAGAACGAAGCAAGCGTGGGCTACCGGGAGCTTTCGCAGTCGTGGCGACGGTTGCTCGTCGCTTCTGCTCCGCCAGCACAGGCGGTAATGAGTTCTAATGCAATGACTCAGAGCCAGACCTTCGGTTGTTGGAGTAAGAGATTGATGCTTACACGCTGAGGGCCTTTGGTTGAGAGGTGAGCATCATGATTCCATACATGATTGAGAAGAGCGCTCTTTGCTGGCTTGAAGTACGTGGGTGTGTTCTGGTCTAGCACGAAGAGCCCCTACACAGGATAACGATCGTTTCGCGGCATCGAAATGCAGTGTCCTATGACTCTGTCGTCCAAAACGCGTGATTCTGGAGTTCAGATACCTTGACCGCCGATGGAGAGATGCCCTTGAGCCTCTGGTCTGATCCCTGGCTGCCTCTTACCAAGAAGTGAATTTCTTGGATGCCGGCGCTTCTTATTGCGTCCAGGACTTTACCGTAGTTCAACCCGACCTGATCGCAGCCGTGGCTGTCGTCGGAAAGAGTGAAGCGGCCGCCCATACCCACGAACGCCTAACACCCGCATCAGATCGAGCCATCGTGCAATGTTTGCAACACTGACCTCGCAAATCTCCTTCTTGGGATACGGTTCGGTCATGCCCTTCCGCAGGGCAGACGAGTTGAGTTCGACAATTCCTCCATAGTCCGCTACAAAGCGGAGATTGCGATTGACCCTGTCCCACACACCAGCCCACTGCTTGAAGCTCCGCTCCGGATCATCGCTCTTCAGTCTGATGAGATCAAAGTGGCCAACCACGGGCGGCTTCAGGGCTTGCAGCATCCCATATTGCTCGTCGAAGTACGCCTCGAATAGTTTCTCGTCGGTGCCGCCGGTCACTCTGCGTGCTTCCTCGTACTTTGACCGGTCAAAATCAATTGGGACAGTACGCACGTGATGGATAGATCCGACGACGAGATCGACCTGGTATTTCTTCAAGAGATCTTCCGTAAGCTTGAGAGACGATGGCCGGATCCAGTCAGTTTCAAATCCGATGAGTAGCTTAATCTGAGAAGCGTAGGCTTGTCTCAGCCGCACAGCCTCTGCGTAGTAGTCATCGAACAGCTGGACGAGGCTTGCAGCCGTCGTGTTGATCTCCAGCTCCTCAGGATATAAGTCTTCTTCATCTCGAGGCATGTGCTCTGTCATGGCGAAGACCTCCATCTTAAGGGAGATAGCTCTCCTGACCACCTCCTCGAGAGTGTTCGTGGCATGACTGCAGAACTGCGCAGAGTGGCTGTGGTGAGAGAAGGGCATGTCTGTGAAGCAGGCTCTGCTGTCGGATCTTGGAGGTTCTTGAAAATTAACAGACGCGTCAAAGGCGCTACCGCAAGCCACAGAGACGATCTGTCTCATTTCCGAGTACAACAACTTGTGAAAAGCCGCGCCTTCGACCTGGTTTACACCTCTAAGCAGAGCTCTCTAACGAGCTGCAGAAGAGCAAAAAGTTCAAGCGAGCAATCTGGGACTCGAACCCAGAACCTTTCCCTTAGGAGGGGAACGCGCTACCATTGCGCCAACCACCCGAATATTCACATGATCTTCGTATCCATCTATTTATTGACAAAATTTCTGTGGCCCAATCGTGGTGCGAGAATCGGCAAGGGAGTACACGATCTCTCCACCACCTAATGGTATAACCTTCCGAGCTATCTAAACAACAGGCAGGAGCACACTCATAGTGGAGAGAAAACAACGCCGTTACATCGACCGTACAGTCTTAATGATATTTTGAGAGCAATGTTTCACAAAGTACACTTTGGTGTCGCTCGGGCAGACTTACAAGGCCTCTAGACTCTTCAGACAATAGAACCAAGACAAAGCCTAACATCCAAGGACGTGCATGAACAAAGCTGTCTCGACATTTGTTCAAGATACCCTATTTCCTTACTTTAACCACCAATTTCTCGTGTCATTCGCACAAACCTAGTAATGCCCGTCCAAAGTCAACGTCCCAGTCTTAGTGATCATGTACTCGGCCACAGCGACGTCCTTTCCGGACTCCTTTCCATAGCCAGACTCCTTGATACCACCGAAGGGGGACTCGGCGGCAGAAGAGTTGCCTATAAATCAGGCGCGATCAGTGAGTGACAAGCAGCGTTCCCGGTACAATTAGATCGCAATCCTTCAATAAGAAATGAGATGTTCTGGGGTGAAAAACTCACCAGTGTTCATGCCAATCATGCCCGCTTCGAGGTTCTCCAGCAGCCGCCACGTGCGATCGACATTCTTGGTGAAGAAGTAGCTCGCCAGGCCCATACTGGTATCGTTCGCCCTCTTCACCGCTTCCTCCTCATTGTCAAACTTGAACAATGCCATCACCGGCGCGAACGTCTCCTCCTCACTGATCAGCATGCCAGGCTTGGCGTCTGTGATGATCGTCGGTTCGAAGAAGAACCCTTCCGTGCCGTTGACGCGGTTCCCGCCCAGGATAACCTGCCCGCCCTTGGATTTGGCATCGGCAACTTGTGCGCTCGCTTTGGTAAGCCCGTTGGGGGTCGTAACGGGGCCCATGGTCGTGCCGGAGTCGGCGCCGTGCCCGACTTTCAACTTGCTTGTTTTTTCGCGGATTATGTCTGCGAACTTGTCGTACACGCCGCTTTGCACGTACACGCGGTTGGCGGTGATACAGGCTTGACCGGCGTGGCGCCATTTTAGGAGCATCAGAGCTGCGACGTGTCAGTCTCGTATCACTTCTCTCGAAACGGAGTTCCGGTTTGCCAGACTTACCGTCAGCGGCCTGGTTGAGGTCGGCATCATCGAAGATCAGGAACGGGCAGTTGCCCCCGAGCTCGAGTGTCACTTTCTTCAGGCCGTCGGAGCAGAGCTTCGCGACTAGCTTGCCCACTCGAGTACTGCCAGTAAAGGTAACTTTCCTGACGTTTGGGTGTCGGCAAAGTGCCTCACTCAGGCCGGGCGTGTTGGCCAGAGAGGTTGTCATCACGCTGAACTCGCCGTTCGAGAAGCCGGCGCGCTCGGCCAGGAGAGCAAGAGTAAGGACCGAGAGAGGTGACTCGGGCGAGGGCTTCACCACCATGGTGCAGCCGGCTGCAAGAGCGGCTCCTGCCTTGCGCAGAATCATGCTTCATTGCACGTCAGCTCATGTGTTTCTAGTCCGTTGCATAAATTGACGACAGGTAGCGTGAAGGTGCAGAATCGAACTCACGCAATGGGGAAGTTCCATGGCACCAAAGCCACCGCAACGCCGACAGGTTGCTTGACCGTGAACACCCTCCTTCCCGGCGCGGCAGGCGTCTGTATCGCGCCCTGTATTCTCTCCGCCTCGCCCGCAAACCACCACGTAAAGCCCAGCGCATAGTCAATCTCGCCTTGCGACTCCGCAATCGGCTTGCCTGTTTCATATGTGACGATCTTGGCAATATCGTCTCGGTGTTCGCGGATCAACTGGTCCCACTTCAACAGGCGCTGCGCGCGGACTCGTGGGTTGACTTTGCGGTAGGTGAGGAACGAGGCATGGGCGGCTTTGACGGCCTCGTCGACGTCTGAGGCGTCCATGTCGGGGCATGAAGCCCATACTTTGCCGCTGCCGGGGTCGACGACGTCGAACCGTTTGGAGGACTTGGCTTCCTTCCATTGGCTGTTTACGTAGGCGAGGTCTTTAAAGACATCGGCATTGTCCATCTAGGAGGATATGTCAGACGGGTGTTACTCATTGTGTTAGCCGCTGCCACGTACCTGAAAAGGAAGTCCTGAAACCATCTTGGGCGATTTGGCCAGCTACACTGCTGGTAGATTCTAGAGCACAATAGAAGCCTGGTCAAGCAGAGTAGTAGACGATGACTGGCTCTCACGATTGATCTGATGTTGACCGATATCAAGGGATGTACAAGGAAGCTATACGTAAGAAAAGAGGCAATGAGGAAGAAAGTCGTCTGTCAATGAGAGCGGCCCGATATAGAGAGGTAGAGAACACGATCGCACTCTCGGAACTTGGGAGATAAATAGGACACCACTTATTCCACCTGCAGATTGCTTCACCAGAAGTCGCTCCTCATTTACCTAGGTAATCCACTCCACATTCTCAAGCCAAACACCCCGCTCTTTACCCCATACGGGAGTAGTGACGGGATTAAGGGAGTGGACATTCGGTCGAACTCGGCAACTTTACCGATGGAGGCCTCACAACTATGTAAAGAAAGCCGATGGTACAGAGATATGGAGTGTGTAGTGCGCCGCTGGTGATCATTGTTGATCATGAACTATGCGATACAGGTGCAGGGCTACGGTGTCCTAGGAATGTTTGTCGAGGCGTCAAGTTCTACTGCGATCAATCTCTAAGTGCAATCGCGGCACACGTACGCACGTGGAGGTACTTTAGAGCACGTCTATAACAACTTCACCCTCGAATCACCTCAAATCGACTTCACATCGATGAGTTGTCAACTAACTTTTCTCGTACTAAAGTGCGCCGCTCGACCATGAATTAGCATCAGCGTTCTCCTTGCATCACTATACGTCAAGCTTCATTCGATTACAATTGTCAAACACTCGTTACTCCGTTTCCCATATCTCATGATGGACACCCACAAACCTACAGCAAGAGCGAGCACCCAGGTCCCTGAATGGGAAGAAGTACATCGCAGTCACCGCGAAGGTCGAGGCAGAGGTAGAAGAATAAGAGACAATAAAGCCTCACAATTTGACAACGTTCTGCCACCGCACAAGAGCTACTTGGGCCTAAGCCGGAGAATGTTCCTTGTCCTCCTCGCGGCTGTAGTCATTCTGGTAGTGGCGCTCATCATTGGTCTCGCGGTAGGACTGACGAGAAAATCAAAGTGATTCGATCCTCTTCACTCTGACCAAGACCTAAGCTTATAGTTCCCCACTCCAGATATCACAACTTACCGCTCCCCGCCAATGTGCAAACGTTCACAGGTGACCTCACCTATTACGGTACCGGTCTCGGCGCTTGCGGAGTCACCTCTGCCGGTGGGGACGACATAGTGTCAGTCAGCCACATCATCTTCGATGCTGCGCAGAAAGGTTCAGATCCGAACTCCAACCCGTTATGCGGACTGAAGATCAGAGCTGCGAGATACGACGAGCAGGTGGGAGCCCGAAGGAGTGTAGACCTGACTGTTGTGGACAGGTGTAAGTGTTCTGCGCTACTCACTTGGAGTCGAACTGCCGAGACTTGGTACCTGGTCGGTCTAACATAGCATTTCAGGCACCGGATGTCAACCCACCGATCTAGATACGAGCACTGGTGTTTTTGATAAGCTCGCTGCTCGGGCGAGTGGTAGAGTTGATGTCACGTGGGCTTGGCTTTCGCCAGCAGCTACAGCTACTTGAACTTCGACAGCTGCCCAATCACGACCGCAACGTATATCCACCGTACTTGGTATGTACATCCGCATTCAGGGCGCCAGTGGGAAAGAAGGGGCACGAATCAGGAGCAAGCAGAGATCCCATCACTGCCTCATCGTTCCAGACAACGGCCCACGTAGATGTTCGACATACCACACGGTTACCCCTTATTCCTGAGCTCATCTGGCGTATCAGGCTGACACGCCCAATGCGAACGCATGACCGCTGGGTCTCGGCTCAGCGTCTCAAAGATCCTGCTCACAACCGGCATCGGCTCAAAATCGACGCCCCATCTCTGCGCCGCCCACACAGCCGGCACCAAGCACACATCTGCTAGCGTGATCTCGTCGCCCACAGAATACTTGCCCGCCGAGATTCCCACCGTCTTCTCATACGCGGCCAGCCCTCTGGAAATGTACTTCTTCGACCACTCGGCGCCGCTTGCCCCTATGTCGTTGACGGCGAGCATGATGTGCCGGTTTGAGATGGGCTGCGTGTCGCACGCGATGATGTTGACCAGTACTCGCACCTTAGCTCTCGCGACAGGATCCATCGGGAGCAGCGACCGGCGGTCTGGTAGAACCTCCTCCAAGTACTCCAGCGCCGCAACAGACTGAGTAATGGCATACGTGTCTTCCCGGCTAGTGGCGACGAGCACTGGCACTGCCCCGGAAGGATTTACAGCTTTCCAATGGTCTTGCAGTTGCTCGTCTTTATCAAGCCGAACGAAGGCGTTCTCAAAGTCGACTGATTTGAGGTCGAGCGCGATGCGGAGGCGGCCGGCACACGAGGACCGATAATAGCCCCAGAGAACGAACTTGGGATCTTCATGAGACATGGTCGCAGAAGTCGGTATTGAGAGCGTGGGATCATGGGACTCGCGGTATGACAAGGAGAGGAAGGATTAATTTGAGATGCGTTGGATGAAACAAGAAGTTGTAGTCTTTTCTGCACGAATACTCAGACAAGCAATAGAGGCGATCTTGACAGGATGTCTGTGTCCCTAAAGAGAGTCACCTTTTCAGCGCCCCTACACCCTCTTATACGACCAGGACGAGCTCCTTCACGAAGATGCGGGGTGTTGTCAGCTCTTGGTGAAGCACGGAAAGCTACCGCACCTGCAAGGGCGCCCGTGGAACTGCTGCGCCGTAAGGTCGGCAACATGAGGTCCTTGGAATTGCGTCCTCACAGCTGGCTG